AAAATCAGCCAAGATGCCCTCGATTGCAAACAAGCAATTAATTTACTTATATTGAACGAAATCAGCTATATGACGCTATAACAATTCCTATCCTATAGGCTAACCACATGTACGCAATGCGTACCTATTTTTTAATTCTAATCTGATTATCACAGTTCTTGGTGATCGCAGAGCGACCTTTGCGATAACCCTGACGCGCTTTCTTATTGAGGGTGGATATTTGGTAGCTGCTGGAACCACTGATCCCATTTATTTCGTCAATACCATCAATCGAAGAGTTATATTATTAATACTAGTAAGATCTAAATGGGCAAGCCAACTGTAGACTTGGTTGCATGTCCGAGTCTCCATGCAGTTGGCTTGCCCACAGATTCGTGATACTCTCGCGCGCGCTGATGCGCGCGAGGGAGCTCCGTAAAAAGATATTTATAGTAATTTGAATACATAGCTGTGGAGCCAAACTTTTAGGAAAGTTGTCTAAGGATATCGTGGACTAGATCCGTGTATTTTTGGAGGTTAAAATTCAATCCAAGGACTTTTAGAAGAGTTTCTCTGCTTCGCTTGACTGGTAAATTTAATTTGTGAAACATTTTACACAAGCTGAACTTTCTTACGTTTGCTTACGTCACACATCGTCACCAACGGTCATCTAACGTCAGCGAATCTTCTTCAAATTATTACGTGTTGAATTAATTGCGTGCGCGTGAATTTAATTAATTTAAATTTAAATCCAAACATGGTTTCAAAGAATGTTTCAGACGGCAAAAAATATTTGGCGAAGATTGGACGCGACATAATTCACATTCTGCTTCTTTTTTCCCTTTTTTCGGCTGTCATTGAAAACGAAAAGAGCACTTTATACTGGTCAAATCGCATCAGGAAACATTTTTATCAGCTCAGAACCTATTACCCTACCTGAAAGACTATGCTATGTCTGGGTATCTACTCGTGATGTTGTTCTTAGAAAGTACAATTCGCCTTGCAATAGTCGGTATCGCTACGGTTTGAACTTACAAACAAACCGCAAGATTTCACATGCGGCTATTCTTCTTTTGCTTGCTGGTGATATTGCAACTAATCCTGGACCAACCTTCAAGACGGTTAGTCAATCGCAAGAAGAGAGTTTTAAAAAAACCCACTGAAATTTCTTCTTCTTAACGCTCGAAGTTTGAAAAGCCAGCACAAGCGAGGTATGAAAGTAACAGATAACATTTATAATTTTCAAGATTTAGTTTACTCGGAGAACAGTGAGATCGTATGTGTTTAATGAAACGTGGTTAAACAAGGATATATTAAACTGCGAGATTCTTGGTCCAGATTATGAAATATTTCGCAAAGACAGAGAAAGCAGAGGGGGTGGAGTGTTAATGGCCATTAAAAGTGAATCGTTTAAACACGTGCGTAAGATTGAAATAAATTGCAACATTGAAATTGTTACAGTGGACGTTACTACGCAATCGAGCTCGCATTTATTAATATGTTCATGTTACAGACCTCCAAATTCAAATGATAACTGGCTAAAAGATTTTAAATATTTTCTAAGCGTGATTCGTGATCAGTATGATGACGTTATCATTGCGGGTGATTTCAATTTACCTGACATTAATTGGCAGAACTCAGGTGACGAAGCAACTAAAGCAACCACAAGTGAATTTTCTGAAATTCTTAAAGACTTTTTTCTTTCTCAAATAAATACGCATACCACAAGAGGAAATAACATTCTTGATCTATTAATCACAAGCATACCCAACCAAGTTAAAATATGCGAAGTCCTTTCTCCAGAGATGACTGGAGTAGTCATTGATCATAATGCCATTTCGTTTGAGGTATTAACCTGTCCTTTCCGGCCACCAAAAACAACCAGAATGGTCTACGATTATCAACATGTAAATATTAACGGTCTTCGTGAAGCTCTGGAGTCTTTAAATTTGAGTAACTTGATATCGGACAACGACGACATAAACAAAGATTGGGTATTCATGGAAACACGCGTTTCTAACTACCGTTAAGAAATACATCCCAACTAAGAAAGTTAAAAGCAGCAGAAACATTCCCTGGCTAAACAGCGAAATCTTGCATTTACTAAAGAAAAAAGAAACTGTCAGACGCCAACTTTCTCATTCTCCCACTGATTATTTGCATGGAAAATTTAAAAAACTTAGAACAAAAGTTAAAAATCTCTTGAAAGAGAGTCGTGAGAGATACTTCTCCAACCTCGGGCAGAGTTTGTATCTGAACCCGAAACGCTTTTGGAATCTGTTTAAAGTAAAATCCAAAACCAGTACTATCCCACAATCTGTATCGTGGACAATAGGAAACGACACAAAAGTCGCTAACAACCCGACGACTATCGCTAATATGTTCAATAACTACTTCTCCTCAGTATTCACTCCACAAGAAGATCTTCAATCTAACAACGCTACTACGACAGATATAAATGACACTATTTCTTCTGGTTCACCTACTCAGTCAATAGATCAATTATCAGTGATGGAAAGTGATGTTCTGAGAACTCTAAAATCTTTCGACCCAGATAAAGCATTAGGATCAGATGAAATCCCTGGTAGAATTCTGAAAGTAACAGCCAATCAAATTACTCTGTCGCTCACTCGCCTGTTTAACAAATCTCTCCAAGTTGGGGTAGTACCCGATGAGTGGAAGCTTGCAAATGTCGTTCCAGTATTTAAAAAAGGAGAAATGGATCGCGTAGAAAACAACAGACCTATTGCTCTTTTATGTATAGTATCGAAATTGTTGGAACGATGCATATTAAACCACCTTAGATTCTCTCTACAGAACATAATAAATCGCTGTCAGCATGGTTTTACTTCCGCGAAATCCTGCACTACTCAACTCATCCAAGTTATAGATACAATTGGTAAACTTCTTGATCAAGGAGAGCAGATAGATGTCGTTTATCTTGATATGTCCAAGGCATTCGATAAAGTGAATCACACGAAGATGATCGATAAACTCCGTAGTTTTGGATTCAACGGTGGCTTGCTTACTTGGTTCCAGTCCTATCTTCGCCATCGTCGACAAAAAGTGACAGCGTTAGGATCAACATCTATGTCGACGCTCGTGACATCCGAAGTACCACAAGAATCTATCTTGGGTACAATCCTGTTTCTGCTTTACGTCAATGATCTACCCGATGCGATATCCTCGTCTACAATTGCAACCTTCGCAGACGATACCAAATTGTTCCAATGCATGTCGGGTGAAGCAGACAGCTCTCTCCTACAAGAAGATCTGACCAATATACACAACTGGTCATCGTCTTCTGATCTTATGTTTAATCAGTCTAAATGTAAAGTTCAGTCAATATCGCGTAAACGAAAGCCCATTATGGCCTCATACTCCATGGGAAATACCCAGCTCGACCACTGTTTCCAAGAGCGTGACCTTGGAGTATGGATCTCGTCTGATCTATCGTGGAAGAAGCAGGTAGAATCGCAGAGTACAAAAGCAAACCAGATCTTGGGGTACGTGAAAAGAACAACAAAAAATTTAAAGTCTCTCACAACAAGACGAACAATTTATTTAACAATTGTACGTGCTCATCTTGGTTTCGCGACGCAAGTCTGGGCGCCTCAAACTGTAGAGCAAATAAGAAAGTTTGAACGGGTTAAGCGACGTGCAACTAAATATATTCTCCATCTGCCATTTAACTCCGACGTCTCATACAAAGACAGACTAATTCAATGTAACTTAATTCCATTAACTTACTGGCATGAGTACTTAGACATGGTCTTTTTCTTCAAACCAATAAACCATCTTATCCATGTGAACGATACTTTCCTACCAAAATCAAAGAAATCTGAGAGATCTACAAGATTGTCGCGTAATGCGTTTGGTACTACCTTCAAAGAGCAACGATACAGAAAATCAAAGTACAGCAGATCTTACAACACGGACATGGAACACACTACAGAAAGAAATAACACAAAACCACAACAAATCTTCTCTTGCCACTTTCAAGAATATTCTGAAAGAATACTACTACTCCACTCTTTCCTTAACTTTCGACCCTGACGACCCACGTACATGGAAGACAACCTGTGTCAAATGTAACTGTGCTCGAAGTTTGCTGGTTCCCCCTTCTTGTTGTTTTTGAACCTCGCGCAACTGATTATTTATATTTTGGCAAAACCAGGGTCTTTCCATACCAGGGAATTCCAGATCGCGGCTGTGGACGGATATCTTTCAGGTTATTTTCAAATTGGATTGTGTGTTAATTTCAGTCACTGTGTTTTTTAAGGTTTTTTAATATCCGTGCTATTACATTGTATGGGAAGGTTTTGCTTTTACCAATGGTAAAATATATTTTTATAAGTAAGTGTCTGATTGCTAGATCTCTTGGTTGGTTGATTGAACACGTCAATTGAACAGTTCGTTAATTGATTGATTGATTATTAAGTCATTTTCCGTTTACGTACTGTTCAGTAAACTTAACTAATTTAACGAATATTGTGAAGAAGGATCCGCAGTAATTGGCTGTAGCTGTTGCGGAAATCCTGCCTTGTTTATATATATATATATATATAGTAATTTAATGTTCCTTCTTAATATTGTTACCAAGGCAAAGTTAGATAAATTAAATAAATTAAAATTAAAATTAAATACGTAACACGTTAAAAGTTCCTTCTGGAGGGAAAAAGGATATGGAACCAAGTGTGTTACCATGGCAACAAGTCAACAACATAACTGCAATACATAGTGATGTGTACTCAATTATTCTTACTGAATATAAGTACATAGATATAAGCTAATTTATAACATGTCACGTGATAAGTGCAAACAAAGTGACATTATCAATGAATATGATAACTCCTGAACAAAAATTGTAGATATTGACAAGCTGAAAACGGAAATCTTGTTCATTTTAAATGGGCCTTCTAGAGAGATTAATTAAAGAAGATGTCGAGAAAAATTTCGATTTATTTGCACTTTAAATTAAAAAATCTATTTGTAGAACTGCATACCAACCTTTCACGCGCATTTGGAGATTGTAGTTCTTACCTGAATGCAATATATGACCATAAAACTATTTTTAAGAAATAGAAAACAGTTTCGTATGCGTGGCAGTTTGGGAGAAAGATAAATAATCAGTGGGAAAACGAGCCCCGAGGACGAATTTTTCCACGTTATTCCACGTTTTCACAAACTACGACAATTGTTTCTACTACTGTATAGAAAGAAGGTCTTGATGGGGTATATCGTGAGTCGTGACTCACTCAATTTCGGTTACCGTCAGTCGTGAAAACACTAAACATTTACCATGTTGCGTGAGGAAAAATACTGTTTATCGTTTCAGAACACTTTTCAAAGATTTACCGTCCATAACACCAAAATTTTATCCTTAGTTAAAATACCAAATTTTTTACCGTTTACTGATTTTCAAATTCACTCT